TTTTATACAGAATAAAATATTATTTCATAAGAGTTCAATGGAGTATGGAATATAGAGAATGTTACTGTATTCTTTATTCCAAGATTAAACAGGTTTCTGCTATAGGAATCAACAACTACATGTACAACAGATGTACTATTCCTATCACAACTGTGATGTGCAGTTCCTATCACAAGAAGAACCTGCATCAATTCTGAATTAAGAGTCATGGTGGAGAGGGAACTACTGACTCTATCAGCAGGTAAAAAGAGACCAGTGAAGACCGAGGCTTTGGCTGCTTTGGCAGTGCTACTAGCGACAGGCTTGAAAGACTGGCTGGTTGTAAAGGCAGCAGTACTGATGGGAAAGAAAAGGTTGTGTGGGGAAAGTTATGATGTGAATTAGTGCATCAGGCTAAGTATGTGGAACTGTAAATGCTGCAAATTGACTAGACGCAGGATGAGGCAGGAAGCAAGCAGGCTAAGCCGTTCCTGAAGTTGCAGGGCAGCAGCGTTGCTGGTATCACAACAATGGGACTAGACTGAAGAAGGGCGATGAAATAACTGGTGGAGTAAAAGGAGGAGTCAACACTGGAAGTTCCTAGAAGGTTGTAATAATGTTTTGCTGGTAAGGATAGATGTCAACCTTGCAGTCCTTGAACCAGTGAACTTCTCTTTAAGAAGCCCTTGGAGTAGTCCAGTTCTGTTTCTTGCATGGAATCAGGGCCCTCCCATAAACATTGTGACCTTTTGTGACAAAAATATCAGCAGGTGGTGATGTGTGCAAAAAATGGTCTGGACTTAAAAAAACTTGCATTTTTCTCCTAAAGTTCAACATCTCCACCCACATTTCCTTTCTCTCTTTCAGCAATTTTCCTTTCCTGAAATCTGTCTTTCCAGCAAGTATTTAGATGATGATGGCAAGTTTTTAAACGTCATTTTAATTGTTAATATTATTTGCTTATTTTATCTGGCCAGGGCGACTTATTTTATATGGTTAATTTGTTTTATGTATTATATTTTATGTTGTGAGCCGCCCCGAGGCTTCGGCGAATGGGGCGGCATAGAAATGTTTTAATAAATAAATAAATAATCCAATGAGGTAACATAGCATTAGATGTATTAATATAAAACTTGAACATCATTTCCATATTATATGAATGGTCCTAATTAGCCATTTTCCCATCTTTGCTTTCACTGGCAAAAAAATTTAAAAAATCTGCCAATCAATTATTAAAGTGATACTCACTTTTGTGGTTTATTCAAATAAACTCTCTTACTTGAGGCAGAGGGAGAGCCTTCTTGTCTAGAGTGGAGTTTAGGCACCATGGGAAATGCTTCCTGTTTCTTTGCTATGAGAAGACACGGGCCTGACTTCACTATAAAATGGATTTCAGCTAGTAGAGTAACAAGACATTTAACCTGCTATTTTGCATTATCTATTTTTCATTCTTTTACTACCTATTCCATTCTAAGTAAATTCTGATTTCTTTTGATCTGCACAGTGAGCCTAGAGACAATGACTCTCTAATACAATATTAACAATATATTTTCACATGGTTTCATGCATCTGGATATTTGGAAGGCATGCTCTGGGGCTGCGTTTAAGCAACTAATAGTTTATGACTATATTAAATAATGGGACTTGATAGGTGAAGATTCTTGAACTACAATTCTGAGACCTGGTGAGGTATAAGGATCAGGGTACTGAACCAGGACTTGCCATGAAGCTCATGGGGTGCCTTTGGGCTAGTCAGCCTAACACACAGGATTGTTATAAGGATAAAAGGGAGAGGAGAAAGATCATGTAACCTGCCTTGGGTTCCTTGAAAACAGAAGAAATTGGATGGAAATATAATAAACAATAAAATGTAAGTTGCCCATACAAAAGAAAAGTAATCTGTACATCCATGTCTTTCCTGTGATCAGTATTAACAAATACTGTCATTTTCCAGGCTGCCTAGCATGTGTTGCTTTGTATGCAGGGAACAGAGGGGTTTATATCAGACTCCCCAAGACCATTTTTCTTCAAAGAAGCACAGCTGGCATGTAGTGAAGAGTTGGGCAATTATTAAAAGGGAAGTTGCTGAAAATCTGCATCTACTAGAAACTCACCCATTCCCTCGCCCATTTTCCTGCATAGAGGCATATTCAGTACACAGTACAGAAGTTGAGGCCTTAGGTCGATGACGGTATTATTTATCCATACAAATCTATACCTTGAGTCAGTCATCAGTTCAAGGGAAGCCTGCAGCCAAGAAATTTGAACAAGACTGAAATTTGGAAGGACAGCAATGAGAAAACTAGAAATGATCCATCGATGATCTTGGAGATCAAGATCTCACTGGAGACCAAGGCCAAGATCATCCACACCGTTATATTCCCAATTACCACATATCAGTGTGAAAGCTGGACAGAAAAGAAAGCTGGCAGGAAGAAAATTGCCTTGTTTGAAAAATGGTGCTGGAGGAGACCTTTGTGAGGACCCTGGACCAACAGACACACAAATTAGAGGGTCCTAGGTCAAAACAAGCCAGAGGTTTCCCTAGAAGCACAAATGACAAAACTGAGGTTGACATACTTTGGATACTTCGTTAGAAGGCAAGTCTCCCCAGAGAAGACAATCATAGTAGGGAAACTTAAAAGCAGAAGAAGAAAAAGAAGACTGAATAAGAGATGAATGGATTCCATAAAGGAAGCCACAGTCTTAAATTCAGAACAGCTAAGCAGAGATGTCATGGTCAGGGCATTTTGGAGGGCTTTCATTCATTAGGGTCACTATAAGTTGAAGGCACATAACAAGAACAAATTTGAGAATTTCAGGGACTGATTTGGCATGCTGGACAATATAAGTGCTATAAGTTTGCTCCCCTGTCAAAGATGTACTGCATTTGTTTGTTTTTATGGTTCAAGGAGCAATGTATATAGCTGACCTAGTACAGCTCAATGAAAGGAACTAAAAATAAGTATTTAATGTAGTTAAATGTAATCAAATAAAAATCAAGATGGTCTTTCAACAAGGAAGAGGATTTGTGTCAGTTAAACATTCAAATTATTACAAATTCAAAGTTTTGTGTCGATACTGGGCTCAAAGAATTTAAAAAAGCAATTTAAAATAGTTTTAACTGGTGAACAACATATGATGTCAGATTTACAAATAACAGTTGTGTAATGTTGGTCAACATGATGATCCTACAAGCATGAACTGTTCTAAAATTCTGGGTGCACATTAACATTTTCTCTTGCAAAGATGAGGCATTTTTATTTACTAAAATTCTTTTTACCTCATTCTTCTGTTGGAAAAACCCCAAAGAATCTCATAGATTTTTTAACAAATCAAGTAATCAGCATAACTTCCTAGAATTTCCTCTTGCTAGTGATTTTTATATTCAAACTCCATTAAACTTTAATAGACACTCAAGTAATTATGTTGGTAAGAAAGGCAACCCAAATTTTGTAAACTTTATGTAAAACAACAATCTACTAACAAATATACCTATACATATTATACTAAGAACAGTACTGAGGCCTTCTCACCTGCTTACTACTGAGGACAGTTAGACAGGCAAGTATGTGAGAAAGAGCCTTTTCAACAAGTGGTCCCACACTCTGGAATGTGTTGCCAGCAGGGGTCTGCCAGGCCCATCCTTGTAAGCTTTAAGGAAAGCCTGGAAGACTCTCTTCTTTACCTTTGACTTCCTCTGATTATGTTATATATTGTAGCTTCAATTCTGTAGTTAAATTTTATCTTATACTGTAGTTTGTTGTTTATATTACCACACTGATTTAATACAAATTTTATTCTTGTCAAGCCACCTTTTTTATTTTTTCAAAGTTTTTATATGCCATCCCCAATACTAAAAGTCTCTGTGCAACTTACAAAAAACAAAGCGACCATATACAACAAACCTTGGAAAGGCTCCTGCTGTGAAAGGTAGCCTAGAATTATTTTCAATAACTTAAATACTTTGTCTTGAGTGTTCAAGAACTGTTATCACCAATCAGTTCTTAACTTTAAGATCATCTTTGGATTGTTCATATAGTCCAGTTCCTGTCAGCTGTATTGGAGGTTGTGGACACTTAACAATGTGGATCAGTGCCATCACATTGTAATACCTGTAGAACTGACAGCCTCCATAATGATTTGCCATGGGAAACATTTTTCCATTGCATCTTTTTGATGGCAATAAGATGTGCCTTGGCCCTCTACACTCAACTTTTTTTACAGTGAATCTGCAATGAGCTCTTTGCCACTAAAATTCTGCATGGCCAAAATTCTCTATACAAGGTCAGTAGAATTTACCTTAATGAACATTTCTCATTCTGTTTAGGATAGTTTCATTCATTTGGGATTGGATCCAAAAAGTTACATATTTAGCAGGCCATCTCTACGTAACTCTCTTCCATCTTCATAAAAAGTGCACTAGATTTTTTTTTAAATTAGAGTTGGGATAGAAATAACAACCTCACTATGTATGCATGCTGATACTTTCTACTAGGCAGGTTCTTTTAGGATTCCAGTCAGAATCGGCTATATCCAGCTTTCTCATATGTCATAATAGAGTTCATGATTGCTACTTTTATGTTACTATTCATTATAGAAAAGTTAATAAAGTCCCATGTAAATATATGGCTTTGAAGGATTAAATAAGGAAAACACACATACACACACATATAAAGACATATTCAAATAGCACCAAAATAGCACAAGCTGCCTTGATCCTAGAGAAAGAAGAGCCATTATCTGTTTAAATGAAATACATAATTAATACAGCACTTCATGTATTTTTTTTAGATTGCTCCTACCTCTAAGCTATCCTTAAGGCTCAGGTAGTAAAGTAAGGTAATAATGCCTTTTAGGAATTGTACTCATGACATAGCAATGGAAACTCCATCAGCACACTTAAAGATATAATCAATAATACTTCCTTTTAAAAAGGGACACAAACACTCTTAACTAATACATTCCTTTGTTAATATATATATATATATATATATATATATGCATATGTTTAAATATACCTTCCCATCCTCAGTGCTTTGTTGACATGAGTTGTGAACATCATCTTCTCTTACTAATTTACCAGGCCATGAAGTCAGTCCTTTTATTTGGCCCCAGACCAAGTCCCCAACGTTAAACGTCCTTGGCCTGTAGTGTATCAACTCATTTGAAGAAGGGGAATCGGGATTCCTTAGATCATCTTCACTACTAATGCTTTTAGCGTCGGAAGGACTAGGCACACACCCATTAATGCTTTTGGCATTAAAGTCTCCATTATAATGGATGTAGTCTTTAACTAGAGAACTTTCAAAGCTATTGGAGGAACTTGGAGACTGCTCCTCTACTGCCAGGTCTTGCTTAGAAGCATTCAGCAACTCTCCAAAACCTCTGCTCTGTTGAGGCCTGTTTCCATTTATGTGTGCACATCGTTCCACAGTGTTCTCTAGTCTCTCTTTAAAACTCATCATAGTTCTTTTGTAATTGCTATACCTGAAGTTCTCCTCCAACATCTTATCGCTGTGACAGTTTCGCTGGGATAACAGTACTGGATGTTGCTTGCCTTGGACTAATGGCAATGTGGAAACATTGTTGGGTCTTTCGTGGCAAGGGCTACTGTGCATATGGGATGAATGGTCTAAAAACTCCTCACACTTCCATCTGTTCATTTCCCCTCCAGGGCTTTGCTCCCCTTCCCACTGTTTCTTGGGTGTGTTGCAACCTGTTGGTTTATAGTATTCCAAGCCATCCCCCTCACTGGAATTTTTAAGGTGTTCTGAATTCTTCAGTATTCGTGTGCCCCTAGTGCTCCTTGTCCTACCTTCATGATCAGAAATGCCAAGGTTTCGTCCGTGGATTACTGCGCTGACAGCACTGGAAAGATTTAATGGGTCACCAATTGAGGCTGTGAAGGCACTCATGGCACTCAAAGCTGGAATAGGGCTCATTTGCGTTGTACTGTTAACTGCTGTGGTGATTACTACTTGCATCCCCTTACTCGCAGCATCCACCACTGCTTTGTAGATGGCATCAACTGAACCATCACCCTGGGGAGCTAAACTGAGGTTGTCCTTTGCCTGCTGCCCTACCGCTGGTTCTGTTCTTTGCTGTAAGTTGCATGCTGCATCTTGAAAAGGAGGAAGTGGGGTGTTGGAAGTTTCAGGAATTGGTGGCATTCCCATTTGCGTGATCATTCTCTTGTTCAGAAAGGCAGCCTCTTCTTGCATTCTTACCTTTAAAAATCACAAGAAAAAATTAAGATGAAATTTTGTTTTAAAAACTATTTTAGATAATGAGTTTTTCATTTTATCAACAGCTTTAAAAACAGTGACTGACCAACTCATCCCATTATCAAACACACCGGTACAAATTCACTTTTGCAAGAAGGGAACAGTTAAGAAACCTTGATCCTCAACAGCCCTGCTCTGCTTTCCCTCTGGTGTCTACAGAACCTGTAGATTACCTGGCACTGGGAACTTTGAGAGTAGTACTAGAAGTGTGGGTCTCTCCTTTCAGGGAAGTTCACTCTCTTCCTCTCTCCTGGCATTTAGATGGCAAATGGGTGCTGTATTTTTCCACAATACTGGTGGAAACCTTTGCATTTGAGGAAATACTCTGATTGTGTTTCTTCCTCACATTGTTTAAAAATGTGTTATTAAGTTTGTGTTTCTGTTTTGCTTGTGCAGCTTTTGTTTTAATATATGTTTGTGAGCCTCCTTGGATATTTGCTTGAGTGTGAAGGGTGGACTGCCAGTGATAATACTGCTAAGCCAAATAGCTGTTGGTACCTAATATACCAACTTTTGGCTTAGGCAGCTTAAGATCAGCTTCAGTCAAGTGAATGTAAGCAGCAAAATTGCATGTAGTATTGTGGCCTCAGCAAATAATTTGATGCTGTCCTTTCCCTATGTATGGAATTTGCTAGTAGTTTTGATTTGAAGTGATCCATTTTTCAATTATTAAATATTCACATTTTTTTGAGTTCTGTATTGAGAATCCCTTTCTCATTTGTGAATCAAATCCCATGATGTGATCCAGTGTACAGCTGAATTCAAGCACGTATAATTTGTACCATTTATGCACTTACTTACTTTATTTATACACTTATTTTAGGTAAAGCCTTTCAAAGGCATTATAAGATTATAAAGACATTGAAAATAATATGATAAACTTACAAAAGAAAAAGCCACATATTGTTGATTTAATTTATGTGTAAACCATCATTAGATTTTTAATGAGTGATGCAATATGGAAAAGCAAGCAAGCAAGCAAGCAAATAAATAAAATCCAGCCACAGATCAAACAAAAGTCTGGCATAATAGAAAGGTCTGTAGGATTTGGTTAAAATTCTGGAGTGAAGGAGCCAAACAAAGTTATCAGTGGAAGGATTTCCAAAATGCAGAGCCTCTACAAGGAAAACCCTGTCCCTGTTATGAGTTTACTTGATTGATCTTAATGACAGGCAGAGAGCACAAACTCTGAAATCAATTTCAAGATAGGTAGGTTCGTAAAAGTTTAGGAAACGGTCCTAAAGATTTTAAAGGTAAAAACATACTTTGATAACTGATCAGAACTAAACAGGTAATCAGTGTGATTGATGCAAAATCTGGGTTATGGGCACAGACAACCTGAGCTCCTTAAGCAGCCTATAGCCACATTCCCAACTTCTCTTCAAAGGCAGTGTTGCATATGGAACATTACATAGTTTAGTCTGGAAGTAACCAGTGCAGGAATGTAGCTAGGCCTTCTTTTTCCAGAAAGGGTTGCAGATGGGAAGCAGCATCTCTGGCTACTATCACTACTTGAGTCTTCACGAACAGCACCAGGTTCAGAGGAGTCTCCAAACTGGAAGCCTCAGTTCAGTTTGGCAGTTTTCCTGACCAAGAACACTTCCATTTTATCTAGATTAAGTTTCAGCTTTCCCTCCACCCCAGCCACCCTAAAACATCTCCATCATTTTTAGGCTGAAGCAAGACATATTCAAAGTTCATATGCTAGCTTATTTTACATAGCTTTTTGGTACAAATGTGATGAATAGCAATCTAGCAGTATTTGCTATGGCTGTGCTAAACAGCCACTGGTATTAAATGTATGCATAATTCATACTGGACAAAGCCAAATGCAAAAAAAAAAAAAAAAGTCACATAGCATAATGTTAGGTGGATAAAAAGCAGATTGAAGGCTATGATTTTTGTAAACACTGGGAAATGTTTCGTTGTCTAGACGAACAAAATGATGTATTTTGTTTATCCTTCTCAAAGAACAAAAGCTTTCCTTGTGCTAGCTACTGCATTAATCCTCCTCCAGGTTTTGAGTCTGGCAGCACTATAATAATGTTAAGTATACAAGATAGTTCTCTTTTTATGGTCTAGTATAGCTGATATTTTCTATCATTTTCTTAGTTTTTGCACTCAGAACCTTGATCTAAGGAAGCATGATGGGAAGAAAGGATTTTGAAAAATGCATATACATGGGAGACTTCAAACTTAGGCAGAGATGATGAAATCAGTATTAGGTTCCAAGAATGACTCATAATTGTCTTTCCATTTTCCTTCTGGACAGCAATGCTGTCCAATTATATTTTTCTTTGCTTTGCTATAGGTGAAAAGTTCACACTGGAAGAACTTTTAGAAATAATCATTGGATATAAAGTAAGGCTTACTTTCAGACAAGCACTGCTTAATAATGCCAATGAAAATGTTAAAAAATATTATATATACCATTGTGTGAGTTGGGATAACCTTGATACAGTTCAGTGTTTAAATAAAGTTATGGAGCTGTCAGAATTGGACATATTGTGCCTGCTAGGCAAAGCCCTGACTATCTTGCACCCCTAAAGCCCCTAGTGGGTGGGGTCCGTCTTTTCTGTTTTTTGTCCACAGTAGGAAGAGTGATGACTACACAACTGTCCTTTGGATTACTTCCCCTTGGTTTCAAATGTTAACATTTGCAATATGGGGCCAGCCGAAGAATTCTGTCACCTAGTGACTAAGGCTGGAACCACATGCACTAAACACACAGAAACATGTCAATGAATTAAAATTAATTAATGCATTTTGTGAGACCAAGTCCTTTCAGTATGCCTACCAAATTTCATCTGTCTAGGTTTTATATTCTATGGTGCTGACAGACAAACACCCCCCTTTTATTACTACAGAGAATATTGAAAAACCAACCAACTTCTACCTGAAAATTCTGGAAAAGACAAGCCATAGGGTTTGGGTTGTTAGGTGGCCCGGGAATAGGAGGCTGTCCTTGAAAACTTTGGAGATTCTGATAGCCTTGTAGAAGTTGCTGTTGCTGATTTGATGGAAACATTTGATTGTTGTTGAACAGTGACTGTAGATGATTTAGCTGATGGTTATTAAGAGTAGTGTTTATTGAGGACATTTCACCTGCAATTCCAAACACATGTAATATTTAAAAGATAGGAATTTCTCCAAATACAAACTGTGTTTATACCTAGTCATGTTTCACTATTTAGCAGCAAATGAACATTTTTTCTTCAACTCTTTACTGAACTAGTTCTCTGGGATTATACTTAAAGATGTAGATTTCTTTTGCTGTTACTGAATCTACTTAAACTCCATTTCTAACAAAGTATAACTCTGGATTATTCTTCCACTGTGATGGGGAACCTGTGTCCTCCAGAAACTGTTGGATTACAACTCTAATCTCCCCTGAATATTAGCTATCTTGGTTGGAGCTGATGGGAATTGCAGCCTGATTACATAGAAGAGCTACAGGTGCCCTCTACCCTGACATATAGTAAGATATAGCATAGTGTACCTACAATAGTACCTCATGCTATCTAGTTTCATCAAATTTACTCTATTACTTAATATGTTTAAACATGTTCAGTGATACATGAAATAAATACATTTCACAAAGAAACCTGATTTTCAAGTTACTAATAGCTTTCACACTATTTCTTAAAGAAGTAGCAACATATTTCAGTTTATCAAACACAAACTCTAAAACTTCCCTTGTGAACATTTTTTAAATCCTATTTTTAAATGTCTTTAAATTTTTTTATTAACACTGCAAAAAACCCCCCCTATAAAAGTCAACAATAACAGAAATTACTAAAAGCTGTAAACTTAGAGTGACTAGCTGATGCAGGCCAAGTTACTGGGGACCCAAACAGCCCCATATATGATTCTTCTGCAAGCGTGCCCAGGCTTGCCCAGTTTCTTGTCCTGACTACAACCCTTTATGCAGTATAGAAGGTTGCTACACAAAGGGAATGTATTATTGGTCCTTGTGGAATACTAGACGGCAGGCTTAGAGGAAACAGAAGCCATTTGGTTCTAATTTGGTAACAATATTGACAGTAAATTCAAATGTTATTGTCAGTTTAAGTAAGGCCTGTGTTTATAGGGGAAAAAAACTTATGTGTAATACTTTTAATCTGTGTTTTATTAACATAAATTCACTGAACTCAACACACACACACGCACACAATTCCTCCATGACAATTTATAGAGGAAAGACCAGAATTTGGCACAATCTCAGGCTTAGTTCACATAATTAAAAGCACTATTGTATAGCAATGTTCCAATGAAGGGTACGCTGCACAATGTTAAAATCCCTCTGTGAAAATCAAGGTACTGAAGTCACTGGATTAGGAAATCATCTGGATTGACAGTGTTATCCTATTTATACATATTCTGAACTAAGTCGCATTAAGTTTAATAATTTACTCCCAAGGAAGCAGGCACAGCATTGCAGCCTTGAACAAGTGAATTGGAACTCAGCTGTAAGTTGATGCTTTTCAAGTTATTTGGAAGCTGGTGATTTCTAAATTAACTAAATGAAAAACCAAATGTATCACCTTTAAGTTCTGCATGGCTGTACTCAGGCAGCTTTATATACAGCTTCACTGTAGCCTAGGGTTTGGGTACACTGGTATAATTTTTATCCAGACAAGCTTGGAAGCTTTTCATCTATTGCACAGCTACTCATACTAACCCTGTGATGCCTTGGATGTTTTAAATAAAACACACATGCACCTGTGCATTTATGAGATTTGGAAAAAATTAAAAGCCATTCCAATTGGTTGACTGAATTTAGATGGCATCAGACTTTCTAAATAAGGTTTTAGAAATACTATTTAGATTTTTTCCCCCTCACAATTGTGTTTGTAGGCTTTCACTCGAATGGTTAAAACAAGTTAACACAGCATAAACGTTTTAGAAAAAAGTGCAATGAAATTGAGTGTTTTATAAAGGTAGAAAATAGAAATCCCACACCCCACCATTTTTTTCCTTTTTAAAATCTGTGAAAATTGTTAACTTACCAAGAAGACCTGTCCCCAGTAGAGGGTTAAGTAGCTGTGGCACCACAGAGTTACTGTTGAGTTTAGCTGGACCAGATGTACTCCCAGCATTATTAGATATGCTCAGCAATGTTTCTGCCATTGACACCACTGCTGTCCCACCAAGGGTTGAGACAGACAGTGCTGCCACTGCTGATGATGTAGTGGCTGTGGTAGTGGTAGCAGTAGCCTGGGAGGAGGTTGCTATGGAAACCTCTGGATGATTAGTAGTGTTGCCAGATGCAGAGTTCAGAACGCCTCCCAACAGCTGGGGATTCAAGGTCATTAATCCTGAGGCCCCAGTGACAGCTGGGAGGAGCAGGGGGTTTGAAACAGTATCTGTGCCTGAAAAGCTTGGGAAAGGGTTTCCCAGGGGGTTGGTTAACAGGGTCTCAGCTCTGTTGGTGTCTGACTGACTGCTAAGCAATTGATCTGATGATGTGGCTGGCATCTGTGTTACTGAGGGCACAGGATTGTTTTGCTGTTGCTGTAACAGATCTGAGATGGACAGATTGAAAGGTGCTAGAGGGAACATGGCAGCTGTTTGGGCTTGATTCTGAAGAAGAGCTGCTAGCAGCTGAAAATGAACAGGTTGCAGCCCCTGTCCATCCATATCACCGGAGAGCAAAGCTAAAGCAGCATTTACATTTGGGTTGAGAAAACCTAAAGGATTGAGGTTGACCTCAGACTTGCCTTCTCCTGCTGAAGGCTGCAGTATATTTAATAGATTCTGGTTTAGGAGGTGCTGCTGATTCACTGGCAAAGAGATAGGTAGCGAACTAAAGAGGTTTGGATTCAAGGAGTGTGGAAGATTGTTGTTTGAAGCGCTGTTCTGTGGAAAATGCAGAGCATGTTCATGGCCAACGAAAGGAAAATCATTCCCAAGAGGGAGCTGGTTATGTAGTGGGTTTCCAGCTGCTGTTGTGACTATGACACCATCTTGAAGAACGGATATTGTCTTGGTGATGGCAGGTTGACTGGTGCCAGCTACAGCAGTGGATGACGGTGGTCCTGCTCTTCCTACAAATTAAAAAAAATGCACAGTGAAAGATAAATAGTATAATGAATAATGACAGTGAATATCAGTATATATGTAGCATTCAAAACAAGAGAGTTATTGCTATATCTGTATCTCCTGCTTTACCAGCAAAAGTCTAGTTGTCTCATAAATCACAGCATTAACCAAACATACATTATGCAAGATATTCAGAGTACTAGTAATTACCATAGAGCACACCAGTATGTCCACAGAAACAGAAATTTTACTTTTGTTCTTGCATGTGATTTTGTTGTATTTACTGTATCTTGTAGAATATTTACTGTATTTACTATATGTTATAGTGTATGATTTGATATTTATGTTACTGCTTTGAGAAGGCTTTTAAGTAGTATCAAACATGTTTTTAGTGTTGCAAATCCCATACAATCTTGTGAAGTCCCATCATCCCCAATAACTCTTCCCTGGGGACTGCCACCAACAATGATGTAATGGGTGGCTAAACTATTTGTTGTGATCCTGTCTATGAAATGGGCTTCCCAGTGGGATCTTGTTTAGCATCTTCACCACATACATTTAGATGCCAGATTATAACCTTCCTCTTGCAGCAGGCATTTAATCTCTAATCTGTTGCTTTAATTTTGCCACTGGCTCTTTAATATTTTTAATGCTTTCGTTGTTACATTTATTATACTGTTTAGGTTTTTTATTACTCTACACCTACTCTACTGTATCTGCCAGCTGAGCAGAATAAAAATGGGAAAAACAAAGTACATAAATTAAAATAGATGTATTCCATCTACTAAAAAAGTGACTTCATAACCAACCAGTGGTTGGGCAATCTGCTAGAAATTTTATTTCATTTAGTTGTGGACCACAGAAGGTAGAATCCTGATCTACCTTAAATTAGGGAGCTCATATGCAAGCCACCTATTTTCACTTTTACTTTTATAAAAAAGGAAAAGTGCAGTGAGTTATCTCAAAAACAATTGTGAATGCAGTTGCACTTATTCCAAATATTTAATATATTTATTTTTAGGTAAACACTAAGTACTTTACTGAACATGTGGTAGATTTAAATTCTGAAGCTAAAAGGGTATGGAAGTTAAGGGACAGAGCATTCCTCTCTCAAGACTGCCACCATGTGGCTTTTTCTATCTAGGACATAATGAAAAACACACATTGTAGAAGACAGAAAATGAATGGATGTAAAAAGCACAGCTCCTGAGGCTGTCAAAAGAAAGGAGTAGACAAGAGGCAACTACTACTACTCAATGGCAGAGCTTTATGAAAGTCTCTACAGAAAATACTGTTAACTATTTTGTCACAATTGCATCTCATTCTTCCTCCAGTAAACTCAAGGCAAGGTCAGTGGAACCATCACATAGCTTCACAACTACGGTGCAAGTCTAGTGAGACTGAAAAGTAAGCATTTGCCCAAGGTCATCCAGTAAGTTTCGCAGCTGAATGTAGATTTAAATGTGTGTTTACCATATTGAAACCCTTCACACTTATACAAATATTGCAGAATTATGTTGGACTATGTTCATAAAACTCTGCTGGCAGGCACAAACCCATCAGATAGGTCTGATTTATTTCCTTGAGTCAGAAATATTGTTTCAAAATACCTAGCTTTTGATATCTGATTAAACCCTGGGTTTTGAAAATAAATCTTTTTCTACTTCTTTTTGATTACTAGATAGCTTTATTTCAAGTAATGTAAATGGGATACAAATCGCATTGCCTATTGAGCCAGGGTATACAGATCCTGACATGGAAAGTTCTGAAGGGTGTTTCTTAGTATTAACATAACAGAAAAGGATGAAAATGCAGATGAAAATGTCCATATAAAAATCTGAAGGTTAATTTGATGTTAACAATGCATTAGATTATTCTCTAATAAGAACTGGCAAACTGTTGAATGAAGAAATTATCAATCATTATTTGTACTTCTCCACAATCACAACAAAATAAATTTGGAAATCAGAATTTGAAATACTGGCCCAACTCAGGTGTCTTCAAATCTGCATGAAAATACTAATGCAAACCTTTAATTAAGCCTAGTAAAGGATAGAAGAAATAAGTAAGGGAAGTACAGTGTGTTGGAGGGCTCAGCAAGTGACTTCCACTGGATTCAACCATACAACACAGATGTGTCATGTTTGCATGACACAACAGTGCTTGCTGGGAGGCACACTATGTAGATGCCAAAAAGCAACTTTGCAAAACTGATTTTAAAACTGATTTTAAACTGAGTAAAAAAGCAGGGTCACTAAAGTATCCTTCATAGCAAAGTCTACGTGTTTTGGGGTAGGCTGATGTTTTCATAGGCTGCCTTCACTTTTGCAAACTTAACACAGGACACAAAAGCTCTCCCCTCAAGGCTGTTTGGGAGCCACTCCTTCTATTCCCCTTTTTAGCAGACTCCTTTGGTTAGGGGTTATCACATCACTCAAGAATTGACAGCATCTTTGGAATTGCAAAAATTGTGGGGATTTCTTATGGATAGGAGCAAGCACTGATTTGCAGGTTGCCTGACCCTTCAGACTTCAAATCTCCATTTTTTTAAGTGGGACTTCGAAGGGATTAGACATTTCTATTCTTTCAGGAATGTACAGAGGTATATAGACACTATATACTTAAACATTTTTCCAAAAAAACCAGAATTTGTACACCTTTCCAAACCCCACTACAAAACTGTAGCTCTGAGTTCAACAGCTTTGGTAGTCAAGCTCTCAGCAGAGGAAATCCACGTTGGTTTTGAATGTTCCCCTGATACTAACATTGGAGAGAATCTCTCAGACCTCAAGGGGCACTAGGGACAACTGATCATGCTGCGAAATGGGAAAAACCTCTTTCTATAAATAGAAATCTTGAAACAAGGTGCTGGAGAAGAGCTTGTGAATACCTTGTACCAACAGAAAGATAAAGTGGGTCCTAGATCAAATCAAGCCAGAACTTTCCCTGAAACCAAAAGTGATGAAATTGAGACTGTCATGCCTTGAGCACATCATGAGAAGGGAAGACTCACTGGAGAACACAGTAATGTAAGACAAAGTCAGAATCAGCAGAAGAGAAAGACCAACTATGAGATGGATCAGTTCTGTACAGGAAATCATAGTCTGGGCTGTCAAGGACAGGGCATTTTGGAGGACATTCTTTCAAAGGGTCACCATAAGGTGGAGATGACTTGACAGCATGTAATAAAAACAATCAGTAGAGAGGTAGGTTTTGATATCCTAGCAGATTATGTTTGAAGGGGCATCTCAGTAGTTTTTGATACTAAGTTATGTAATCTTTCTTGGTCATGCCTACACCTTATCATGAGACTATGCTTTCCTGAAAGAAATAGTTGTTGAGCATGCTTAAATCTGTGTTTTCAATGTTCCCTTGGAACAGATCTAGTTTTCATAGTGATAAAAAACAATATTAGGTATTGCCAACCTGCAGTGATATTTTGGAAACTAGATGTTTTCATGGAGGGGAAAGTGGTATTTGTTGCATTTATGTTTTTTGCTACTTTGGCAGCATGGCATCAAAATGACATCAATGTGTGACTACTCACTAACAGCAAATCCTATTATTTCTACGATCAAAGTCAGTGCTACCAGTGAAAGGGGCTGGGCTGACCTATAGAGTTTTTCCTACCTAGTCCACCCTGATGAGTTGCTATCAGCTTGTTTTGCCTTTCTTCACTACAGAAAAAGGTGACATTAGAGCTCTGCCTTTTTTTTAAGTTTGAGCAAAAATGCCTCATGTCTTCTCTGTGGCCGAAAACAACTTCTCTTTGGGATATCGGGAGATAGAAGGAGAAGGGAAATGGACAACCCGTGAACTTAGGTAACAAATTATGGTTTGTTCCATTGTTTCCCAGACAAACCCTAAGCATGGTAATAAGATATAAGTTAACAAAAGTTTAAAAATCACAGGTTAGAGCCATGTTTGAAGAAGGTTACAAAGTTCCATCCTCTTCCTTCAATGCTAGTGGATTATTTTTCCCAGAGATACAGAAAATCAGCAAGTGAAAGATTCATCAGGGAAAAATAATATAGTTGAGGTGAAGTGTTTACAGAGCCTTAGTCTACTGTACGGATTAATGCAAATAATTGGAATAATTAAAACAACAATGAAATATTATTTCTGTCAAGGGTTTAGCGGGAATTCTTAAAAGAAAATAATACATAGAATGAATTTGGAAGAAAAACTCCATCCAAAAATCTTGGCCTTTCCTGCTTTCAGTGCTAAGGTATTTATAGGACAAGGTGCTTATTTTATATACAAATATTCTGTATGCATATGATAGGCATTAATTATGAACTTGATTGCCAAGTCTTCCTATACATAAAAAGAGTTGATATCTGAAAATATTTAATATATTCTAAAGAAAGTTTTGAAATTTTTAATGTGTTTAAATAAAATTAAAGCAAGATAAAAATAAGTAGCCTAGTTGCAATGAAATAAATATTTATGAGTTATTGCCAATTAAATAGCAGTCATATTTGTTTATATATGTCACAATAAATAAAAAATGCAAATGCTGATATAGGAATATAGGACTAGGTTCTTTGAAAAAGTTAATATTATCATATAAAAGTTATGTTTCATTTTAAAAGATATTCCATAAAGTTGAACTTCTCTTATGGTGTAGGATGTTAAGTAGTGCACAAAAGTACTTTCTAATGATCAGAATGCTACTATCAAGTCTTTTTTTTTATTAGTTTACTACTATTTCTCTTCCTATTACTTGAATTTACCAGTTGCTTCTCTTTTCAACAACAAAATTATTAAAACATACAAAATATAAATAAATTGCAGTTACAGTTAAAAAGAACCAACTCTCAAGTATACAGTAAGGGCAAAGGAATATTGGAACAGGACATAGATGTTTTCCCTGCCATGTTATTCTTCCATGCTTGAATTTACCACATGACAGTTTCTTGTGTATTGAGGAAAATTACCCCCCCCCAAAAAGCTGGGGGGGAGGGTGTTATGAAAAAAGCTTATGAAGCGCTTTGGCTGGATG